ATAGCAGAGAACACTACGTCTTCTAGCCTAGCTCTAAGTCTCCACTATAGCAGAGAACACTACGTCTTCTAGCCTAGCTCTAAGTCTCCACTATAGCAGAGAACACTATATCTTCTAGCCTAGCTCTAAGTCTCGACTATAGCAGAGAACACTACGTCTTCTAGCCTAGCTCTAAGTCTCCACTATAGCAGAGAACACTACGTCTTCTAGTCTAGCTCTAAGTCTCCACTATAGCAGAGAACACTATGTCATCTAGCCTAGCTCAAGTCTCTACTATAAGATATGCATTATTCATGAATGTTTAGGTCTACTTATCTACCTATGTTTAGTCCTATTGGTGAATATGTCAACATGTTATTGCGAGTCTGATGCATCAAGATGCAAACGAAAAGTGGAGAATGCAAAGGGGGTGCTTTATTAAATGTCGTTACTTGTGAGCATTGTTTATTTTTGACCACACATTTGAAATTGCGTAATTTTATTTTTATGGTGTTATTTTTTTTTTTCTATTTTTTTGGGGGGGCACTAATTCACTTACGCCTAGGGCCTCCGATTACCAAAGGCCGGCCTTGTCTAATCGTACACTTAAAGGGTGACCCCCCTCTCAGGTACAATGAAATACAGTATATTCACTAACAGTACATGCATATTCATAAAATGTCCCACTAGCTGTTTTGTCCCCCCGCCCACATCTGTCAAATAAACAGGTGCATTTAGTCACCGACTGTTTCGTAACCGCTTAGGTTACCTCCCCATTCAATCTTATGGATGTAAACAAAACAAAAGTAAAGTTCCCCTTTCAGACCTTGCGATCTATAGGGCAGATAATGTAAAGAGCATCTGTTTTTGTGGCTCACGGTTAACGAGGGTGTCATCTGGCCAACACACGACCAAGCGCCTTTACCTTTCCCCAACTAATGTCAGGTAGGCTACTCATTAGAGTTGGGTGGACTCAGTGCGCCCTAAAAATCCCGAAATTCAAAATCTCATCCTTCACTGAAGGATAAACTAATGCAAAAAAGATGCTGCAAAACAGTGATTACGTACACTACTTCTAAATTATGGAAACTTAACCCGCAAAGATCAGCATCATATTGAATTATTGTCCCGAATGAGGAGAGGGATGTAAGTTAAACGTAATTACTGAAAGACGATCAAATGGAAAATTCAGTTTCAAGCAAAAAAAAACTTTACGTACGGTAGTAGTTCAGTGTCGAAGCGACACACAATTAGTGAAAAGTAATAATCATGTTTTTACAAAAAATGGAAGAATGCAGATGTCCAAGCGTCCAGACCCGAATTTAATTTTTTTTAACGTCCTAAGCTATTCGAGATATGGGGCCCCTTGCAATCAATTTTTCGTTGCGTTTTCTTCCAAATGATTACAACTATCCTTGAATACATGTATAGCTTATGTTGCCTATAGTTAAATCTAGCTCAGCAGATGTCCTTTACTTTCAATCTTGAAGACAGTGGGAAATGGTTAACTAGGGGAGTATATAGCTAGCACAATGCACGTCTTCTCTCGCCCTCATCATTCAACGGTAATTCAAAGGATCAGAGTTAAGGCTTTGATTGTTTATTTCTTACGTTTCGGTCTTTTCTTCAGAGACGAAAGTTATCTTATAGATTACAGACGTTAATTCAAAACAGAAGATAATTACGTCCTTCGCACTTCATGTGTCTATCTTGTCAAAATTATAACCTTAAGTGGATTAAGTACCCTAACATTCTGCAAGATGGCAGGGGAGGAGCGAGAGCGGTGCTCGAACTGGGAACCTTCATGACGATATAACAGTGCTTATGCAGAGGCGTAGTGAGGGTGCATCATATCTATGCTTTCTACGCCTATGTGCTACATAACGGAGGGTTTTTTGGAGTTGAAAACACTGTCGCATGGAGAGATTACGACATGTCCTTGAATCCACCCATTCTCAATTCTTGAATCCACCCAGACAAAATATAGCAAGAGAGAAACAAATGCGGTTACTTATCTTTTGTCCTGCACCCTCCCCCCTTTTCCCCATCTCCTTGACTCAAGCACTGCTGAAGTAAAAGCTAAAAATAGAACAAATAAGTGTTAAAATCGCATTCGTTAGTCATCCGTTGTCTTGAAAACAAAGACAAAGTCGGGCGTTTTGAGGGTGGGCAATGGGGGACCAGGGGCAGGCAACTGTGTCAATGACGACGTTAATCACGTCCAGCGATCGTGATCGCAGAGTGAAGGCCTTGTTTTGTCCGTAGTCCTAAACTGCATTGGGCATAGTCAAGATGGCCTTGTAACGTTTTAAATTATTTTTTTTTTGACATACCTGTCAAAGAAATTGGTGTACCTGTTTTGCTCTATTTTTTTTTCAATGCAAACACAAATAAAATGTGTCAAGTAAATACTATATTTTTATCAACAATAACTTAGGCCAACTGATTAGATCTTTTTAGATGGGATAAAATCAAATAAAAAGATAAAATCATACCCTACACAGCAGTTTCTTGTAGTCCGTAAATTAAATGTAATAGCAGACTCTATCAAAGCCCTGTTTGTGAGAGACACAAAAAGGAACGAAACTTTTTTTTAACGTTTAATTTAATTGTGTGCTATTGTACTAGGTTGCACTATTTAATCGATCTTTTTATCTTTAAAAAATTTTAAATCTTCAATTGTTGCATTGTTGGTCCGCAAAAGACAAACCGTTGATCCAGATCACATTTATGCTACCGTAACCTTTTGCTTCGAAACGATAAACAAACTCAAAAACAGCTGCTTCGGTACAGCCAAGCCGGTGTTTACGGCGATCAGCTGACTTGTCTAGCCCAGCTGATTGCCACTACCATCGTGACCTGGTTTCGGTACTTGATATTTTTGATGACCTAAGCCACAATTTCTGACACATATCACTAGGCTATTTACGATTAGACCTTTTTAAGTAATGCTAATGCATATACTAGCCTTCACCGAGATAAGTTTATAATCAGTTGGCTATCTTGCTCTAATCTTCATTATTTTTTTTTTTTAGGATCTGGGGTTCAGGAACGGGTCAACTAAAAAAAGCATACATGGTTTACGATGTAACCGATTTTTTTAAGCTCCTAGCGTCTTGGCCGACTGCGCATGTCTGTTCACCCTGACTTCTTTACTAGCCAATGAAAAACGGCATGCAAATGAGGCGCTCCAAAACGCTACTTTCGTAAAGTGTATAAAATAGCGGCTTTCATTGTTTACAACTTCAGAGATAATTTCACTTGCAGATACTGTACACGCACTTAAGCGATTGTGACTTGAAAATTATTTTGCGGACTTAATTTTTTTTTTGGATTTCACCGTTGTTGTTGTTTTTTTTAAACTAAGGCAATTGTTTTATTGATCAGATTTGGGTAGTGATTTTTCATCTTGACTTTTTTGTGGAAAAAAGTGTTTTAAAATACTTAGTCTAGAAATATATGTATAAAATATAATAAAATGAAGCACAGAATTCAGTTGCATGGCTGTGATGCCGAGGAATCTGATGGATATTCCACTGGTAAGAAATCAGTTCTGTAAAAAAAAAATTTAAGCCAACTATTGGCTTAATTAAAAAAACGAAACAACGTATTCTGCCTACGTTCTTATGTGGAAACTAGTGGATAGATTTAAAATGTTAAGATTTTTGTTTTCTCAACATTGTTATTTGTTTGTTCTTTCAGATAATTCTGACGTTTCAATGGGATCAGACTTCAATGAAAATTGTAATAATGTAAGTACCAAGTGAAGTTAGCCACGCCTACTTTCCCGCGTCCTGAAAATGTAAACAGACAAAGGTTACGAGGGTCAAAGCACGGTGAATCGAGTTCACTTCCTTTAAAAACAGGACTTAATGCTAATATTTATAACAAGCTGCCCAAGTAACATTCACTTTAGGTCTAGAGTTAGATCAGTCGCGTTAGGACTAACCACTTGAAATATAGAATCAGAGTCTAGATTATCTTCATCGACCATATTAAATAGACTGCGAACAACATTTACATTGCAGAATGTTCTCTAGATCTATAGTTTATTCTGTTGCAAAGGAATTCGCTTATCATAGATCTAGGACTTTAACTTTAAATACTTTGATAACAAAATGCACAATCTCAGCGAGAAATTTAGCTTATAGTGCAGCTTTGTTTAGGCCTACTAAATCTGATAGTGAGAACAAAAGTGTTAAAATTAAAACTAAAAAAGTTCAGACGAGAATTCGCATGATTACATACAACTTAGATTTATTCTCCAATTTTGCAACAAATGCCGATTCACAATCTAAACAGGTAGGACATACAAATGACTCATTGACTGATTCTAAATATTTTGACCTATGACCTAGTCAGATCTAGATAGATAAAATTTGTAACACTAGATTATCTAGATCTACATGTAACATATCTAGCTCATTTATATTTTATCATTTTACAAGTTAAAAAAGCATACATTTTTTTTGGTTAGATTTTAAATATCTGTAATCATTTCTACAGTATAGCAACATACAAGTACTTGTACGCGAATTTTATTTACAAAATGTTAGATCTAAAATAGGTGCAGAGAAATTGATGTTTTGAAATATTTTTGTCTAGGTCAATTTTGGCATTTTATTTGATGTGGATGGTGTTTTGGCAAGAGGTAGCACACCACTTGATCCTGCCAAGAAAGCAATGGCTAAGCTTAAAGATGCTAACGGAAACTTGAAGGTGCCAGTTGCATTTGTTACTAATGCTTGCAACAGAAGTGCAGACAAGGCTCATCAAATACAGAATTGGTTTGATATCAATGTGAGTAGGCTATATATATACAAGTTTCATTATTCCGTATTGATTGTCTTAATGTAAAAAAAATAAATTTAAAGATAATGGAAACAAAAAATGCAAGAAATTTGAATAAGTTGTTTAATGTACTATTCTACAGATTACACCTGAACAAGTTATCCATGCTCCTACTCCAGCTAAATTATTGAAGGAATTTCACTCAAAACATACATTGGTTATTGGCCAGGAACACAGAAAAGAAATAGCTGCAGAGTATCCTTTCAAGTTTTATTTATTTTTGTAGGCTTCTTTTTTGACCATTCCTCTTATTAGCTTGTTAAATTTTCTTGGGTGGACGGCACACTGCCTGTGTGGTGACTGGACATGTCTCGAAAACGTTCCTTCATATTTTACAAGAGATTAAGTTTATGTACCTATGTCTTTGGGGAAAAAAAAATACTAGCTTTACTCTGGATTGAGCATTATTTTTCAAAATATAATTATCTTAAAATTAAATTTGGTCTATTTTTTTCCATTTACCTATCGTTACTTACAAGTGAAGTGATTGCTCTAATTTTAAGTAGTCACTTTCATAATGGTGAATTTTTAGAAAAACTTTTTTACTTATTTTCACTCAAAATTTTGAATTACCCGGTACACACATTTTTTCCAGTTTAGTTTTTTCCTTAATTTACTTTAGTCTTGGATTTACCAATACATGCATCATTGAAGACATCAAAGAAGCTTATCCATTGCTGGACATGGTTGACCATGCAAACAGAGCCAAAATTGTAAGCAAAAAATGTTAGAATTGCCATTTTAGTTACTTTGAGAAAAGTTAAACATTCTACTATAAATTTCTAACATGTTTGTATGTTTATTTCATTTTGCATTATTTTGCAGGCTGAAGGTAACTACACAGAGAATCCTAATTTTCCAAGAGTTGATGGTAATTAACTTTAATATTATCCTTCAATTACTTGACACAAGTTTAATTTTTCTGTATGAAATATCAGTTGATGCATGAACATTGTCTTACAAACACATCATTTTGTTTTCAGTCGTTTTACTCATTGGGGAGCCGTGTCGCTGGGAAACAGACCTGCAGCTAATTATAGACTTACTTTTGACTGAAGGAAAGCCAAATATTACACCTGAAGACTTGTTCAGTGTTCCACAGATCCCAGTTATTGCCTGCAACATGGACTTGGTCTTCATGGCTGAGGCCTGCATGCCACGATTTGGTCATGGCGCTTTCCTTTTGTGTCTGGAGTCTCTCTACAAGGTAGATATCTTTTAGAACATGTGCAGTTTAAGATAAAAGAATAGTTTTCATGTTATCTTGTTATCTTCAGTTTTCAAAATTTGGAGACTTTCCTTTCTTATCATTGACCCATAGTTTTTTGTTTTAATTTTTAAACAAATATGGCCCTCTTTGCAGTGGGAAGTGCAAAGCTGTCAAATGGACTATAGTTTAAAATTTAATTTGGATGAAGGCTTTAAATTAAGATTTTACAAATAAGTCCCCTTAGCTAAGTTATTAGTGAAATTTATAATATCAGGAAATTTACATCATCCATACTAAAATTTTAAAGGAACTTGACTTAATAACAAAATACTTAATTCTGCTTTCAGAAAATTACAGGGAGAGAGTTACATTACAAGAATCTAGTGGGAAAGCCTTGTGAGATTACATACAGATTTGCAGAGCACACAGTTTCCAAAATTGCAAAACAGATGGGAATCAGCAAGCCGATAAAAAGGCTGTACTTTTTTGGGTAAGTATTTTATACTTTTGACTCCTTTTTTCTCTTGAATTTTAGACATTTGTTTAGTTTATTTTGAAAGTCTTCACTTTGATTTTCTCCAAACTTTAGTCAAAATGTGTACCCCCTGGTCAAACAATGGTTGGGAGATTTAGAACCAAATAAATTCTTGCAGTATGTTTACATTTCTTGGGTGCTTCTCAGACTTCAAAAAAACATGAAATGATCGTATCATCTCTAGAAAAGTCTTTATAAAGTTTTCTAGGGAGGATATTATATCATAAATGCACAAGTACTTTTATCTGCTTTTTTTAAAGTTTGTACACTCCTTTCTTCTACATCAGTGACAACCCTAATGTGGACATAGTTGGTGCCAATCTGTATGATCGCTTCATCAAAAGGAAAGATAGCAATGCCAACTCCATTGACCTCCCTGTGTCTCGACTTATCCCAGAAAGTGACATTTTGAATGAACAAACAGTTGAGTCCTGTCACAGCATGCTCGTTGGCACTGGCGTCTACAAGTTTAAGCCTGAGGATGAAATGAAGTCCACTAGCGACACCATTGAGGTCTATCATGGCCACAGAGACATTGCCCATGAACCAGAACTCTCCAAACCACACAAGTACGTTCATGATGTCTATGAAGGTATCGACTACATCTTTAGGAAAGAAGGCATTGAAGGGAATTAATGTGTTGATGCCAATAGAAATTTGACTTTTGTAACTTAAAATGGTTAAATTGTTGTGTAAATAGTATTCAGTGTTTTGAATAGAAACTATTTAAGCTGCCATTATTTTTTTGTTCAAATGTACATGACATCAGTCTAGTTTCTGTTGTCTCATGCTTGTGTATATATTTCAACTAAAATGTGTGTACATAGTGGCATTTCAAGAAATGTGAAAATGTGTGATAAATGGTTTTATGGATCTGACTTTAGTTGAGATTATTAATTATACTAAGAGTGTAAAAATACAATCAATATTACTACTTTTTGTAATCTTAATCATCTTATTATGGTTCATTTTTGTAAAAGCTTTCTAAAAATTCATCTCAAATGCATATGATACATCTTTACACTCAACACTCCAACTTTTCAACATTCATACTTCAATCAGCCATTCATTTTCATTTCACTCGCATCTCATTCCATTGTCAACTTTTTGGCTTTTCTTGAACTTGACAAAAGATAATAAATGGCATATTTTTTTTGATCACCATGCAACTGAATCACATCGAACCTGGTTGTGCATCTTACCACAACCTCATGGCCATGTCCAGTAAGATAACTATTACACGAGTCTTTCATTTTGATATTGCTGTACATTATATCTGTATACATTACAGAAAGTCATGTGACCAACCCTCAGTAAATTTTGTGAACTTCCACATTTTGAAAGTGTCCAATTTTAATAATACAATATAATAAAATAAAAACAATAAAAAAAATTTTTTTTAAATACCAAATGACCATAACTGCATTCCATTTTTTATTTCAATAGCAAACATTTTGGAAAAAAAATTGCATATTGGTCTTGACTTTTTTTTTTTGTGTGTGTTCGAGACATTTGTGTAATGTACCTGATGTTCTTGACAAAATAAAAACTTCTAAGAAAAAGGTTTTAGATTTTATGTATATGTATTTATCCTTAAAATGGAATCCTCGTAGTTTAAAATTACTTTTTGTTTGCTTTATAATACATACACAATCTACAACTAAATTTTTTTCTACTTCATTAATCACACTCTGGTATGCCTGATAGATGCTATTTGAAGGTTTCAATTATTAAAGGTGTAGTCCTATTTGAATAATTTTAGATTGCATTCTAAACATTATGGGTTACTCAGGCTTTCCTGGACATTCGAGGGGAGGGGTTAGTTTCATTGTATCAAGGCTTTGTGAATAGTAAATGTAATCCCATGGGGTAATTTTAGGTTTAGACCATAATACGAAGTACAACAGGGTTAAAATGAGTGACACCTCAAGATCGAGTCCCTTTGATATAAACTACAAATGCATCCTTTGTGAAATCATGGTCGCATTATCTAACTTAAAAGAAACATTGGGGAAAAAAATACAGGCGACTTAATAAGTTATATATGAGGCCTAATTAAGATAACGTGGAAAAAAAACGAGGGATCTTGAGTTCAAATCCCAATGAAAACATTTGTTTCGGAATTTTTAGGACGCCCCCTTGACTCCAACAAACTCTAATGGATACCTGACTTAACGTTGGGTAGTTAAATGCAGTTGGTCGTTGATTGACATCTGTAATAATTATGACACCCAATGGCGTCACTGTGGAAAGAGTGTGGAGACAGTGTCACATATCTTATACGAGTGACCCCCAAGTCCAATAGTTAAAAGGGGATTTGTCTGGACGGTCACTATAGATCTGCATGGAGGCGATCGATTTGTTCAGCTAATTGTAAGTGGTGTGTTAAAGCTTAATTTCTGTTAGCATGTCATTTTTTAAAAATTTTATTGTCCTAGATATTTGAAAGTTTGAACATTTTCAAACTTATGGTCGGAAATGTTAATATATTGTTCCTAGGCTATGTCTGATAGTCTCTTGTTATTGTGATATAATTAGTTTTACTCTTTTTGCTGGCTGAGATGGTTCTAGTTGTGTAAAAGCTCTAGCTTAATGTCATATGTACCTATCTTTACCCAAGAAGGCAATGCCAACGGCATAAGCAAAGTAGGCTATTATAGGGGTTTGCTGTGAGTACTTGTATGTTTTCACTCCATAAGTAGTTAATAATTGTTGCCCTTGTGTATAAGTGTAGGGCCTGTATTTTATATACCTTTCCATTGTCAAATCCAAGAGCATCAATGAAAATTAGTCTCCTTGTCTTAATCCTCGTTGAATCCTGAATTCCAGTGAATGTTTTCTCAACACTTTACTTTTGAGCCGTTTAATGTCATATGTAGCCTATGAGTCTTCTTAGTTTGTTAGGGACTCCAAAACACCGAAACTGTAGCTATGTGTCAAATATTTCCTTCTGATACTGTCAAAAACAGGGGCGGACTGGGTATCAAAATCGGCCCGAGCATTTTCCATATAACCCAACCCACAAATGGCAAGTCATACTATATGTGTATAATATATGTAGATGAAGTTTGATAATGCATCGGAGACTGGATGTATGCTGGCGTAGGATTAGGTAGGCCCTATGTATCTTATACATGTAGCCTATGTGGTCTGAAAACTACTAACAGTACAATAGCAGCCTTAATGAGTTTAAAATTAATATCTTGTTATATCTCTGCTCCTATATTGAAGCATATATATATGGTGCGCTGTTAAAGACGAGTGAGTGGGTAGAAACAAGATGGTGGACTGATGATTCCGGATAAGTAGATAGAGAAACATACTAACAAACGTACTAAAGATAGATTAGAAATTTAGAACCGCCGGAGTTGTGGTAGAGATCATTGTCAGTGTGGTCGGCGGGTAAGAAGCAGTGTAGGTTGGCTGGTCAGGAAGAAGTCTTGTGAGGAAACTGCGGAAAGGGTCGTTCCAGTTAATGGAAGTTACATTCCTTTTTGTGTATGTAGGCTGTAGGCCTATACTATCGTTTCTGAGGCACGCAATGTGACCTGTGTTAGTGGCAAGATATAGAGCACTGTTGGAATTTAAGACATTATAGGAGGCAACAGTGAACGGTGTTTGTTAGTGGAAGGCAGTGGCGGAGACAGTGAACCATGCAGGCAAGAGCAGCTAAATGAACTCATAGACAACATAAGACATTTATGTTAATTCTGATCGTCTAATATCTTGTAAAAAAAATATCTTGTAGATAAACGCATCTCTCATTTCTTCACCTTTATTCTTCATAAAGTGTTTACCCTAGATTCGTGACAATATTACTAATTGTTCTGGAAACGTTTTGGTTGTACTTATAGATTACGGATGTTACTTAAAAAAAGAAGATAATTGCGTCAAACTCTGG